CAAAGTAGCCTTTGGTTGAAGAATAAACTTGATGAAAAAGTTTAGAATCTCCATACAGGGCTTTGTTTCTGAGTGACAGACTTTCACAGATATGCATGTGCTTTAACAGTTCTTGTCTATCCATCTGTTGAAAATCCAAATGATAATGAACTGGTGGTCCTTTTGCTGTAGTGACCCAGTGCTCTGCTTTTTAGTGTGAGAGAACAGTTGCTGGTGGCCATTTTTCTTTTCTTGACTCCATTCTATTCTTTATTTTCTTTTCTGATCTTGAATCTTATGAAGAAATTTGAAAGTTTTTCATTTTTTTGCGATTCAGTTTCTAAAGAGCCTGTTGTGTCACAGACATGTTAAAAGACACTGTCTTGGCAAGTGAAGCTTTAGTAGCTGTTAAGTTCAGAAGGCTCACTACTGTGTGTATAATTAAAGCACATTAAGTTTCAGGTAGTGATTCGGTTATCAAGCGTTATAATTTGTGGTCTTCTCTGAATGACGTTTAGACAGCCCGTGGATGCTTTGAGCGCGTACAGCGTTCCTGCATAAGCAGCTGCAATAGTTAATTGCACTGATTGTTTTAAAAGAAAACTTGCACCTGTTTCTAGTTTCAGATTCTAATTATTAGGTCTATTTCTGGTTCTTGCGGGCAAAAATAGTCTAATCACAGATTCTTTTAATAATATTGCTTGTTTTCAAGTAGCTACTGCTGTAGCTTCATGGTACTTGAGCCTCTGTCTTGAGACTTTAGAATAAGTTTTGGGGTGACTAGAAGGAAGCAGCAGCTTTCCATTAGGTAAGGTTTTTGAAGATTTACTGAAAATACTCTATCCTAAGAGTTTGCTTATGTTGCCTAGAAGCGGGATGGGGTAGGTAGTTGCATAGGGAAACTGTTTAACACATTTTGGTGTATGTGTTTATGCTGGGCTTCTTGCCAATCTTTTATATTTTTAGATTGATCCTTTCTGAGGTCTCTTTAACTGAGTATTTGAATGTAGTGCTATCTACATGCATTAAACTGTTGCTGACTCTTTCTTATGTTGGATGGGGAGCTTGGTGTTTGGGTGTGACGTGGGGGGGATGGGGGTGTCAGCTGCTCACACATTTCCAATCTTCTCATTATCTTTATTCTGTATTTTCACATAGTTCTAGTTGCTTAAGAACTCAGAAGAAACATGCGGTGTTGGTATTTAGGGGTGTGATTTTTCTTTCATTAGGGTCATATACTGGAATATATGTGGTAAAATATGTCTTCAGCTGGAATGTAGAATGACAGTTCTTGTAGCTCATGCTGTCCATCATTGGTAATTGCATTGAGAATATCTGTCTGCAGAAGAAGCCCTTGTACTATCTCCTGTAAACTCCCTCAAATACCTGTTGACCTTTCTCTTCATCTTACTGTTTTCTTGTGTTTGTCTCAGTGTCATTTCCTGGAAGACTTGGAGCTGATGATACAGCTAGCAGTAGAATTTTTAATTTCTGAGTCTCTGTGTATTTTCTTCAAACACTTAAGTATTCTGCTGAGTGACTGAAGGCAAGTAGACTGTCATTTAAACCTCCTTAATGACTCTAATTGGATTACAGTGCTGTAGAAATCAACAGCTTTTGTATGTTTATATAGTGGTTCCTGCAGTGTAAACAGACGTGAGTTCAAAACTTGTTTTCCAATTTATGGTTGTTTCATGCAGTTTGAATCCAGAAATAGATGGAGTTGGTAGAGTGGTGGAGCTTTTATTATTACTGTTGTATGCAGCACCCGGGCCTGAAATTTACAGGAAAGGTAGAAGCAAGATCTTGATGGTGCAAAATCATGAAGGTGCACAAAACACATCACCAGTGACTCGTTTTAGTGAGTCAGACTCACTATAACTATTCAAATATCATAAATTTTCACACAGGGGGATCGTATTTGGGGACAGGCATGTTAACCATGGGTTTTCCCCAAAACGTGTATACTTATGAATAAAGCACACTCATTGTAAAGCATCCTCTTCAAGTTAGGTTAATGTGGATGTACCTTGTATACCTTTTTATTAAGTTCTGGGATACATTCAGGTTTTTCAGTGATGGTTGATCTTCTGGAAACAGAATTTCAGTATCTATTAACAAATTGTTAGTAGATCTAGTCAGGAGGTAAAGGCTGTCACTTGCCTCCAGAAACTGAGTTTTGAAAATGAGAAACCTGCATGAGAAACATACATTATCTCCACACTGAAGTATTTTGATTCTTAAATGTTCAGTAACACGTCCTATTTCTCATTCTCTGTAAGCCATCTCTTTGGCTCCTGTACAGCGAGCTGTCTGTTGGTGAGAACATGACTGTGGGGAATGATGTCTCGTTCTGACGACCTCATTCTCATTCTCTCTAGCTGCATCTTGCACAGAGCCCTTTGCTAGCCTTGGAAAAGCTTTCCAGACTACAGATACATGGTTTCAAATCTTTCAGTTGATAGACATTTTCAGCTGCTTTTGTTGCTGAATTGAGTGCATTGCTGCCACAATAGAACGTGAGTAACTTTTTCAGGAAAGTTATTTTCCCCCATAAATGGGTCATAGTAGAAGTAAAAGTTATCCTAAATGGTATTGTATTTTCTCTCATTAGGATTGTCTTTTGCCACTTTGAAAGTTGTTTCTTTGCTCTGCAGTTGAGGGAAAGGACTGTTCCTGTTCAACAGTGTTAATGAGCTTGGATTTGATAGTCAGTGAGGAGCTCAGACCTTCATTTTTTATGGTTTGTGAGGAATATGGATGTGATATGGATGGTATTGAAAAAAGCAGCTGAAGAACTTAAGTTTGAACACCTCTCAGTGCATCTGTTAAAACATTGCATTGCATTTCTGGTACTAAAATATCGAAAGGTAATAATGCTACTATAATTTTTTTTTTATTGCATACCTAATAGTACTTAAGAAAAAATGTAAGGGTAATGAAAACCACTTTGTGTAACCATTCATTTTGCTGAGAGCATTTATGTTACTGTATCATGATATTCCCTCTGCATGATATGCACATTGGCCTGTAAACTGCGAAGCTGTTTTCTGGATGACATCAAGTGATGTCAGACTTTGTCAAATTGAGAATAAAATGTGTGCCTAAAGTCTCCATTTGAGCTTTTGTGCCCAAGTGGAAGACTGGAGTAAAGACGTGTATAAATTTTAAGTTAAAAATATACTGGATGTTTATGAGATAGCAGTCAGGGCTAGTGCACTAGGCATTTGAACTGTGAATTTCTGGAAGTAAAAGCTTGATTTATTGTACTTTGGTTTACTGACTTAAAATCGGCCCTCCTTAGACAGAGGACTGTAACAGTCATAAGCCTTGCACAAAATGGACCAGTCTGGTGGGGTTGCTCTGATACTATTCTATCATAGCTCTGTGCGAGTTATTATTAGCTCAATTCTTTAACCTCTTTTGTAACGGTGAAGCAGTGCTCTATAATAGATATAACACAATCTTGAGCTGTGAGATTAATAAATCGGTTCTATTATACTTGCAAAGCTCAGTTAGCTTTGTCCATATCCCCAAATATTCCGATACAGCACCCCACTGAGTTACTGAAAATTTGTTTGAATCTCTGGAAGCGTTATTGGTTTATCATAGACTTTGTCAAGTAATTTTAATAACCTTCGTAGGAAAAATAATCCCAATTTAAATATGTAGATATGTTACTATTTTTGTTGTCAGTGCTTGGTTAATCTTGTGTTTATTTTTTTCTGTAAACTTTGGATTGGCTTTTAATTGCAGTTGGACTGGATGACCGCTGTAGCTCCCTTCCAACTGAACTCTTCTAATTCTCACATATCAAATGGTGGCTGCTTCTTTTCACTGGCTTTCCGGTATGCTGGAAAAAACATGTGCTATGGCACAAGTGCTTCAGTTCCTTCTAGAAGCAGTTAGTCCAAGTTTGATATTTCTTACATGGCTTGCTGCTTGCCACCTTTCCTTTTCATTATCCACTGTCTTCTTAATGCTCTTTGAGGAAAAACTATTTTTACCTGGAGGACAAAACAGGAAGGGTGTTTTGTTTTTTTTTTTTAACTGGTTTTTAAGTGTTGTGTGTGTTTGTTTTTTTTTTTTTTTTAATGGGTGCTTGGTTTAAATCCTTACACCTATTTTTGCTTACATTAGTCACTGAACAACTGCTATATTTTAAAGAAACTTGAAATGTTGTGTTATATCGAGAGTCTGATGTGTATTTTTCTAATGCCTTGAAATATTTCAGGACTGAAACTGGCTGGTTTTGTCTGTTAGAATAATCTCTTGTTTAACCCAGCACTCTTCATTTTGTGTGTGAATCTCAAAACTTTTGCTGATCATTAAAGTTCACAATGGAAGATTGTGCTTAGAACTAAGATTATGTTGGTTTTGTTGCCAGTGAGTTTCAAAATCATGCTTTACTAAAAGCTCTTATGTTCCTAAATGGCTTTATAATAAACTTCGCATTTAACTTGTGAGGTTCATGGACCATAATGGTTGGAACAATGAGTTTTGAATTTAAGACAAAACATGCTGTGATCAGGTTTGTAGCTCTTTCAGCTCACACCTCATTGTTAATAAAAGGAGGGGCTGCTTTTTTTTTTTTTTGTAGGGGTTACTGCAGATCTCGACAAGTTGTGTATGATTTTGTGTAGAAGGCGAGGAAGAGCCTTTCTAATTTTTTTTAAGTGAATGATTGCTAGATGTGCTTCTGCACTTATCCTGTAGTTGCTGTACAGGATATAGGGCTTTTCCTCTCTAAATTCTTGTGTAGACGAGCAAAGGTATAATCTAGAAAACCTCTTTGATACGATTTTCTACAGAAATATTGCTGATGTTTGTGCTGTTCTTTCAGGGTTCATGGCAAAAATAGTGTAGAATTGTGCACTAACATAATTAAGTAAACTTGTCTGAATCATTAGAATTACTTAGAATAAACCAACTTGGGATGTGGCTTCTGTTTTGAAGCTGCAGTTTGTTTATAAGCAATGTGTTTTTAGTAATGAGATGCTGACTAGCATTTGTGTCTCTAGAGAAGAAGAGGAACGTCTGAGAAATAAGATCCGAGCAGACCATGAAAAGGCTCTGGAAGAGGCTAAGGAGAAATTGAAGAAATCACGTGATGAGATTCAAGCTGAGATTCAGACAGAAAAGAACAAAGTAGTGCAAGAGTTGAAAAAGAAAGACAGCAAGCCACTGCCCCCCGTTCCTTTACCAAATCTTATAGGGATAAACAGTGGAGAACCAGCAGATGTGGATATCCGAGAGAAGAGGAACAAAATTAAAGAGGTAAAGATGATGATGTGGTCCTTACCCATTCTTGTATCTGCTAGCAGCTGTATATATGGCAATTAGTTGCTGTTATGGTTTATATTAAAAAGAAAAACAGGACAACAAATCCTTTTAATAACCAGTAAGCTAAAAGCGCACAAGTATTAATGAATATCACTGTTATTACATGTGTTTTCCTGGTGTTGGGGTATTAATATTTTACTGGATAAAAACTTAAAAATGATTTTAAGGCTTTCTTCAATTTAGTGTTATGAGTTCAAAGTGAATTTGTCATTAACAGATGGAACAGCAACAAGTGCATCTTTAAATCAGAGCCTGACTTTGTCAGGTTCCATTCAAAGAATAGGATATATTAGTGTGTCACAAGATATTTTTAAATGTTTTAAAAGTAGATTGAAAAGGTATGGATAAAAAACCCCCTGCTGCTAAAACTTGCAAATTACCAAATTATTACAGACTTTTCAAACTAAGTTTTAAATGGGTCTAAAAGGTAGGAATTCATATAAGTTATATTGTCTCATTTATCTGTAAAGCATTTAAACTAGGATGTTGGCTTTGGCTTTTGGCTCTGTGGCAGCTTATGCTGTGGGAATTGCTGATTCTGGTCTTATTTCCACTCCTGGTTGGCCTTCTTTAGCTGTGGCAATGCCTATTTCCTATTATTATTGCCAGGCTTTTTCAGAATATGTACTTCTAACTAGTATGGCAGAAACATTGTACAGCTGCCTTTTTCAAAATTGGGTTAGCAAGCAGGAATGGTTCAGGCCAGAGATGGACAAGCACTGGCTCTGTAATTAAAGAACATCCAGGACCACAGCACTTGGTAGTTACATCAGCTAAAAATCTTGTTTCATAAAACCAAACAAAAATAAGTCATTCACCTGTCCTCCTGATAGGGAGGAGTTGCAGCTGGAGTATGTGCCATGCTGTGGGTAGATCACTCAGGTTGGAATTTTACTTTGAATATTAATGATGACTAGATGAAATCCACTGTTACCAAGTGATGAGTAACTGCTTATGATACATGATTGGTACAACATGGACCTGTATCACTATTTGAATCTCTCAAGTAGCAAATCCTTATCTGGAAAGTGTTCCTGTTCTGTTAGTGACTACTGCAGAAGCACTTTTGATGAGAAGTTGTGTGTGGAATATTGGACCCCCTTGACCCTGCTTGGTTAGGGCTTTTCCCAAAGGACAGCACTGAACCGTGGATTTCAAAAGGCTCTACTGCTTTTCAAAACAGTGTCCTCAAACATTTTCAGTGAGAATATTCAGAGAATCTTGCTTTTCAAAAAGTCTTCTGTAGGGTGAAGAAGAATGGTGAATGGTATGATCATGTAGCTGTCAACACTTAATTTTAACTACAGATTACTGTGTTTAAATACCTTTGAGTTTGCCACTGATGGATTTAATGGGCGGAATTAAATGGAATTGACAGAGTAATGTGAAAGTGCTGAGCACAGCTAACAGTGAAGAACTAGCTGGAAGAAGTAGTCAACTAAAGTTCCTGTAGATCAAGCCTGGAATTGGAGGGAGGGTTGAAAATTAGTTATTTGCATTTCTTATACTGATTGGTTAGAATGTAGACTGAGAGGAGATAAGAGCTGTAGGCTTTCATCAGAATGACAATTTTCTTGGTGACATGAATAAGTAGTAAAGTTTGGACAAGTCATACTGATCTAAACCTGAAGGTATAGCAATTTATGAGTAAGGAATACAGGGTGGTTTGTGAGTAAGGATCACCAGAGTTACTACCTGGTGATCCTTAGCAGCAGTTGCCACAAATCTCATTCTGTAAAAAGCTTACTTTTTTTTTTCTGGTGATCAGTCTATGTGTGAGTCACACTGACAAGCTGGGGTTTTTTTGCATAATCTGTTGACGGTTTCTATTGTGGATTCTGAAGTGTAGCTTTTCATAGCCAAACCAAAGATTTTATGGGACTATAAGGTGGGTAAGTACTTCAGTTAGGGTAATTGTACCTTTTTACTGAGCAGTCTTCAACAGTGTGACCACTGTGCTTGAACAGTCCAGGATCATACTAGAATGACTGAAATTTCTGTCTTTGTGTGAATTGCCTTTGAGTCAGTCTTGTTAGTATTGTAGCTACCAGGTGATCTCTAAAATTTTTAAATTCTTTGATGCAAGGCAGCAGATTATCACTCCTACAGTTGGACGTGTGAAGGCATAGAATACAGGAGTAGAAAGTCTGCTAGTGAGAATGGACAAATGATAATGCTGAAGAACCTGTTGTTGGTACATTGTCATTTTTGTTTGCCCTCTGGGTCTACTTGGATTCTGGCATCTGCTATGTTGCAGTGAATATAACAAGGCTGAGATAAAGCTTATCAGCAGTGTCAGAGGAATAATATTTTGCCTGAAACTTGTTTTTGACAGCATCAGCTGTATCACAGAAGGCTACAATGATTCTAGAGATGCAAAGTGTATTTTGAAATATGCTATGATCATCACTGAGGTCTTCTCTCACTGTTTTTTGTAACCGGTGTAGACTGAAACAAATAGTCTCCATAGATGTGATACTTAGCAAAAAAAAAAAACAAAAACCAACTAGTTCCAGGAGACAAGCTCTCTAATACAGGTCTACACCTAGCATATGTAGCATTTCTGACATGCAAGACGTTATGGTTGCCTGGATTGAGACCACAATATTAGCAGAGGGAAGCTCCACCTCTTTGGAGGCTGTGTATCTGGCTTGAAAATTCCAGGTGGTACCGAGAAGGCATTTGGTTTATGCCTTCGTTTACTTTGAAGTGTCCTCATGCATATTTGAGGAGCTCGACTCTCACAGAACAGCTTTAGACTGTTTAAATTCACAAAATGGATGAATCTATACAGCCTATTTCAGCTAGTATCAAATGGTGAAAAACTATCTAGAATTGGGCTGACTGTTGGAGACAATTTGTAACATGCACATGGGTCTTTACAGTCAGGAGAAAGACTGGAAAGTTTTCAAACTGGGATGTAGTTTCTATATTTTTTGCAGAAAATGTATTATTACTTTTTCTTTCAAAGAACAACTTGGTTAAGTATTTTTTAACAAATCTTTGTATACAAAATGGTTTTGCAGTGCTTAACTATTTTAAAAATATATTGATTTTTAAAAATTGTATATAATAGTAAAAATAATTTGCGTAATGTTCCTAAGAGAGCTTTGTAAAGCACTTGAAAGCTTTGTATGATAGGATTGTTTATTGAGCACAGAGGTAGGCTTTTTAGGGTCATGAAATAAACCGTGAGGAGAATCTGCATCTCTTGGATTTGGTTTTGTGTATCTTTTGGTTCTGATACTTTTGTTTAGTGTTGCATTGTATTCTCAGTTGTAACTAATTCCCAGAATTGTATATTTTGTTTGTATTCTTCTAACGGGCTATTAATTAATTTATTTCAATAAGGACCATTTATGACTTGGTTGATTATTTTAGATATACAGTGACAACTTTAGAAGTAAAGATTGGCCACCTGCTTACTGTGCGTGCTTTGTAGCACTTCTTTAGTATATTAGCTTGCTGTCTGGCTTTTGAAAAATGCTATGGTTTTTAATTAACTCATAATTTAAGAATAAACGTGTCTGAAAATTATTATTGCGGCCACACTTTAGTGAGTTTATTTTCATACAGTAAAGGGTGAAAAAATGGTTTCATAAGAGGGTAGATATAACTTGTATAAGTTTTCAAAAAGATTTAAATATGTGTTGTCTGATTGTGGTTAATGCAAAGAAATTAAGAACAAAACTAATCTTTTGGAAGTCATTGGTCTCTTTTCCAAGTTAAATTAGATATAAACTGCATGAGTGCTTGGAATTTTTGGCACTTAATTTCCATTATTACGTCCTTTAAATGGTGTTCAGAATAATTTTTTTTTTTTTTTTTTGCAGTTCAGGTGTAATTATTACATAGTATTCTTTTTTAAAATTAGCTTTGTTTCCTTGAAGTTAAATTTTACTCAGTCAAATAAGGAAAATTTTAGAATTCTTTTCACGCTACTCAGGGTTTAGGTTTTCTTTCATTTCAGCTTAAGAGTTCACGGTATTGTCTTACTGCCAGAGTTCATTTCAGATACTTGTTAAAATAGCATATTTCACCCCCAAATGGTACTAATCTCTGGCAGGATATCCTATATATACCCTGTTTTAAACATTGAAATGTTTGTTTTGAGTTCTTGGGTTGTTGAAGTCCATAGGTGTTTTCTCTGAGAAGTGTTGTATTTGTGGATATCCAAGTTGTATATACAAGTCAGTATGGCATTACATGCAGTATCAGTTTTACATATGTACTGACTACAGAGCTCTGGGGCCCGTTGTTAGGGACCTGGGGTAGTGCTGTCCTTGATCCTGCCAGGAAGGGGAAGGGGTATGGGGAGAGCCCTGGCAATGCACAGCAGCAGTTGGTTGTGCAGCTGGCGTTGTTTTGGGTTCTACAACCACGGGACCCTGTTTGCAGGGTCTGCCTGGGAGAGGTGGGATCCACCTTGCAAAGGCATCTTTGCCAGCAGGGTGGCTGACCTTGTAAGGAGGGTTTTGAACTAGAGATGGGGAGAGTAACTAGCAACCCTGTGAGGGAGTGACAGGGTGGATGAGCAAAAGGGCCTGCAGGGATGTGATCGAAAGGGATCGCAAAATCAGCAAAACGGGGCTTGAGCAGGGTCACCTCTAGCACTTACATATAAGCAAGGAAGTGCCTGCAAGGCACCATTATGGAGAAATCCCCCCAAACGTTCCTGGGACAGCAGCATGTTAGGGGACCTCTCTGGAGTGCGTGGAAAATCACATGTGCGGTGTGGGGAATAAACATGATGGGTCAGAACTGCGTGCTGTTGCAGGGCTGTGGTCTTGTTGAGAGATGTGGAGATGGATGGAGATGTGGTAGGCTGACTTGCGTGACTAGTGTTGCAGTGGATGGGTACAGACTCTATAAGAAGAATGGGCCAGGAAAATGGGGGGGATGAAGTTGCCTTTTACGTGAGAGAGTAGCTGGAG